TGATCTTCAGTCGGTATAAAATTGTCAAAATCAAACAATTTCCGGCTTTTGTATTGAGTTGCATAGGCGCAACTTCTGCGACTCCCGAAATGAGCACCTGATTTGGTTGCTGTGTAGAGTGGCGAGAGGCCAGTTATGGCCGAGTTCAACGGAACCAGATCGTGTGGTCTAAGGAAAGGAAACGTTAGGAGAAGAACTCCCTGTTTTTCGATTAATTTCGACCATTCTCGGAAATTACACTAGCTAGAAGATCGATTTCATAATTACTTACTTAGATTGTCTGTCTTTACTCGTCATGCAGGCCACAGAACTGTTTCCATCCATTTCCTTCTGTCGCTAGCGTCATCCACGATTTTGGTATTGAACTCTGGTACTGGAACGTACTGGCGGCGACCTTCGCAAGGTGCAGATTCATAACTCGTTACCAGCTGAGAATTCAGCTGGTCCACCGTGCAACGAACACGTCAGCCCATATGGTCGGTGGACTCCCTCGAGGACTTTTTGCTTCGCGAAGAATCCATTCCAAAGTTCTTAGTGTCCATCTTCGTCTGTTCTTCTCATTACATGACCGCCCATCGATTTTTGCCTTAAAGACGTATTCCGCAGGATCGCGAAGACAAGATACTGAATCATGTCTGAACTGCGAAGTCCGATGAGATGTTGAGTGTTGTACTTCAGAAGACGCCCCAGCCAACCGTGGTAGTTCGGAGAGCCTTTGATGTAGCCATAGCTCCAGGCCACGTCTCTGCTGCATAGCAGAGCGCAGGGAGAACAGTTGAATCGAACAGATGGGCTCGAGCTCTGGGTCCGTCAGCTGGTCAGTGGCTCCCTTTAAGGGCCCGAAGGCGGCTCAAGCTGCTCTTTGCCTCCTGTTTAGTTCTTCTTTCAGATCGTTCTCCATGTTCATGGAACGCCCGAGATATACATGATATTCCTCGAGAAGAGAACAATGTCGTCCGCAAAACGAAGGTTCGAGAATAATCTCCCATCAACTCGTATACCCCTGTCGTTCCAATCCAGTGATTTCATTACCCACTGCAACGCGAAGGTAAACAGCTTTATTGACACGGTGTTGCCTTGTCGAATCCCCTTCGAGATTGGTATGTTAAGAGGACGATGGAAAAGCTGTACCGTGTAGAGCAGCTCCTGTAGCAGTCGGCCAATGCCTCACGTAAGGATAAGTCCATCCCTTGGTCGTCGAGCGCTGACAGTATGGCATTAGTCTCGACGCTTTTAAACACTTTCTCATAGTCAACGAAGGTTAGGACGAGAGGTAGGCGGTACTCTCGGCAAACCTCGATTATCCTCGAAACTTTCTGAACGTGTTCGTCGCAGTTGATTCCCTGGCGAAATCCAGCTTGTTTTAGAGGTTGGGCTTCATCCAGTGTCCTTGATATGCGAGCTATAATAATCTTCGTGAAGAGCTTGTAAAGCACACTCAGCAGGATATGTACGGTAGTTTCGAAGATCCTTCCTGCCCTTCTTATAAAGCAGGATTGTTCGGGAGGTTCTGCGCTGGTCGGAGATCCTTTCCTTTTAAAGGTAAGACACTTGGTGTGCCGCAGTATCTCGTATAGTC